ATCTATATATATAACCCATTCAAAGTGTCCGTCTGTCCCGTAACCGTTTGATAACGGACACTAGAGGCGCCCCTATCGTGTGTCATATTTCAAACATTCAAATTAACAATTTTAATTCTTATTTAAATTAACAATATGAATTATTATTATTCATTTGGCCCATAAATTATTATTTGGTCAATATAACAATATAAATAATTCAGTATATTTGTAATAGGAATTTATTATTTCAGGGGCTTATATCTCGCGAAGGATCACGAGTAGGGGTATGGTTCCTTTGACTTTATTGTTCGCACAGGGGCTACAGTTTGGGGGGGTCGCCACCTCTTCATTCGGAGGGTAAATCTTACCATTGGGACTTTAACAGAGCTGTACAGCATATTGATAGGAACAAAAAAGTCAAAGGAACCGTGCCTCATGGAAATTTGTAAAGAACGCCCACTAGGGGGCGTCCCGGGCTACTAGTGTTACAGAAGCAATTGTTGGGTGTGATGGTGGTGGTAGAGAAACAACAACAAATTAATTAAATCTTTAATGGTGTTCAGAGAGTAGACATGTTGTCTGGCATACTGGGCATAGTTTGGAGTTCCTTATTCCTGTCTTGATAATACCCATTCAATATAAATGAAAACATTTGCTGTCTTATAATTGTTCTTGCTGGATATTGGTTATATGTATAGTATTTATTTACATATATCCAGTTTGAGTAGTTAAATTAATACATAACATTTAATTTAGTTCTTACCTTAAAATTGGATATATATAAATTGATATCATATTGTCAGAATGTCCACATCTATATACATCAAAACAATTATAGTAGTTGCAATTTCCATCTGTTTTTTCTGCTATACTACTTTTGCTTAAAATCTGAACTTCAGGTGTACCTTCCCAACTTCTCAACACAAATTTTTCTTGATGGTCTGCCTTCCATGGCCAAAACAATAAAATGGCAATAAAACAAGCAAGAAGAAACATTAAAAAAAATAGAGCATTATATAATGCACCTCGTCTTACAACTCGCTGTCGTTGGGCAGACATATCAAATAATACAATTATATAACTTTGTTATATTTCATTTAGCTTTTATTCTTAATTTATCAAGTAAATCTGTAAATAAAAACAAACTTGTTAAAAATGAATAAGCTCTCTAGATAAACTTTTACATCTAATAAGGAAGGATTTTCTCATGTCAGTCTTACATTTTAATAAAATATATATCATTTGATAGAGGAAAAAAAATAAGAGGACCCATATTTTACTTTTGTCTGTCAGGTCAGCCATTTGCAAGAAATGGGGTTCTAAAATGTTCTAATGTAATTCAAATAGAAAACTAGCACTGGTGATTCAGTAGTAGGATTTTGGCTAGACTGGGAATGTCAAGGGATTGATTCTGTTCAAGGTTTTTACTTTTATGGTGTTTGAAAATGTAAAGGAAAAATACAATGTTTAAAACTAATTAACTGTTTACAAAAAAGCACATGAAATAAAGGCATTTCTATCACAATCTTCTAATAAATACCATTTTGGGAAATGTAAAATTTCCATTGATAACATTAGAAAACTTTGTAATGTTCTCTTCTATCACACAACCTGACTTTTGCTATGAATATATTAACATGTGTTTAAAAACAGAAGCACATAATTGCTTATACATAAATGCCCAGATCAGTCACAATGCTATATTTCTATTTGAATTATATTAGAACATTTTAGAACTCTATTTATTGCAAATGGTTGACCTGACAGACAAAAGTAAAATATGGGTCCTCTTATTTTTTCCTCTATCAAATGATATATATTTTATTAAAATGCAAGACTGACATGAGAAAATCCTCCCTTGTACAAGTATATAATATATTTTTAATTTACATAAAATATTTCTTGTAATTTTTAAACTAAATATAATTATAATTATAATTACTCTTAAATATAAATTATGGAAAAATTAATCATATTNATCTATATATATAACCCATTCAAAGTGTCCGTCTGTCCCGTAACCGTTTGATAACGGACACTAGAGGCGCCCCTATCGTGTGTCATATTTCAAACATTCAAATTAACAATTTTAATTCTTATTTAAATTAACAATATGAATTATTATTATTCATTTGGCCCATAAATTATTATTTGGTCAATATAACAATATAAATAATTCAGTATATTTGTAATAGGAATTTATTATTTCAGGGGCTTATATCTCGCGAAGGATCACGAGTAGGGGTATGGTTCCTTTGACTTTATTGTTCGCACAGGGGCTACAGTTTGGGGGGGTCGCCACCTCTTCATTCGGAGGGTAAATCTTACCATTGGGACTTTAACAGAGCTGTACAGCATATTGATAGGAACAAAAAAGTCAAAGGAACCGTGCCTCATGGAAATTTGTAAAGAACGCCCACTAGGGGGCGTCCCGGGCTACTAGTGTTACAGAAGCAATTGTTGGGTGTGATGGTGGTGGTAGAGAAACAACAACAAATTAATTAAATCTTTAATGGTGTTCAGAGAGTAGACATGTTGTCTGGCATACTGGGCATAGTTTGGAGTTCCTTATTCCTGTCTTGATAATACCCATTCAATATAAATGAAAACATTTGCTGTCTTATAATTGTTCTTGCTGGATATTGGTTATATGTATAGTATTTATTTACATATATCCAGTTTGAGTAGTTAAATTAATACATAACATTTAATTTAGTTCTTACCTTAAAATTGGATATATATAAATTGATATCATATTGTCAGAATGTCCACATCTATATACATCAAAACAATTATAGTAGTTGCAATTTCCATCTGTTTTTTCTGCTATACTACTTTTGCTTAAAATCTGAACTTCAGGTGTACCTTCCCAACTTCTCAACACAAATTTTTCTTGATGGTCTGCCTTCCATGGCCAAAACAATAATATGGCAATAAAACAAGCAAGAAGAAACATTAAAAAAAATAGAGCATTATATAATGCACCTCGTCTTACAACTCGCTGTCGTTGGGCAGACATATCAAATAATACAATTATATAACTTTGTTATATTTCATTTAGCTTTTATTCTTAATTTATCAAGTAAATCTGTAAATAAAAACAAACTTGTTAAAAATGAATAAGCTCTCTAGATAAACTTTTACATCTAATAAGGAAGGATTTTCTCATGTCAGTCTTACATTTTAATAAAATATATATCATTTGATAGAGGAAAAAAAATAAGAGGACCCATATTTTACTTTTGTCTGTCAGGTCAGCCATTTGCAAGAAATGGGGTTCTAAAATGTTCTAATGTAATTCAAATAGAAAACTAGCACTGGTGATTCAGTAGTAGGATTTTGGCTAGACTGGGAATGTCAAGGGATTGATTCTGTTCAAGGTTTTTACTTTTATGGTGTTTGAAAATGTAAAGGAAAAATACAATGTTTAAAACTAATTAACTGTTTACAAAAAAGCACATGAAATAAAGGCATTTCTATCACAATCTTCTAATAAATACCATTTTGGGAAATGTAAAATTTCCATTGATAACATTAGAAAACTTTGTAATGTTCTCTTCTATCACACAACCTGACTTTTGCTATAAATATATTAACATATGTTTAAAAACAGAAGCACATAATTGCTTATACATAAATGCCCAGATCAGTCACAATGCTATATTTCTATTTGAATTATATTAGAACATTTTAGAACTCTATTTATTGCAAATGGTTGACCTGACAGACAAAAGTAAAATATGGGTCCTCTTATTTTTTCCTCTATCAAATGATATATATTTTATTAAAATGTAAGACTGACATGAGAAAATCCTTNATGGCAATAAAACAAGCAAGAAGAAACATTAAAAAAAATAGAGCATTATATAATGCACCTCGTCTTACAACTCGCTGTCGTTGGGCAGACATATCAAATAATACAATTATATAACTTTGTTATATTTCATTTAGCTTTTATTCTTAATTTATCAAGTAAATCTGTAAATAAAAACAAACTTGTTAAAAATGAATAAGCTCTCTAGATAAACTTTTACATCTAATAAGGAAGGATTTTCTCATGTCAGTCTTACATTTTAATAAAATATATATCATTTGATAGAGGAAAAAAAATAAGAGGACCCATATTTTACTTTTGTCTGTCAGGTCAGCCATTTGCAAGAAATGGGGTTCTAAAATGTTCTAATGTAATTCAAATAGAAAACTAGCACTGGTGATTCAGTAGTAGGATTTTGGCTAGACTGGGAATGTCAAGGGATTGATTCTGTTCAAGGTTTTTACTTTTATGGTGTTTGAAAATGTAAAGGAAAAATACAATGTTTAAAACTAATTAACTGTTTACAAAAAAGCACATGAAATAAAGGCATTTCTATCACAATCTTCTAATAAATACCATTTTGGGAAATGTAAAATTTCCATTGATAACATTAGAAAACTTTGTAATGTTCTCTTCTATCACACAACCTGACTTTTGCTATAAATATATTAACATATGTTTAAAAACAGAAGCACATAATTGCTTATACATAAATGCCCAGATCAGTCACAATGCTATATTTCTATTTGAATTATATTAGAACATTTTAGAACTCTATTTATTGCAAATAGTTGACCTGACAGACAAAAGTAAAATATGGGTCCTCTTATTTTTTCCTCTATCAAATGATATATATTTTATTAAAATGCAAGACTGACATGAGAAAATCCTCCCTTGTACAAGTATATAATATATTTTTAATTTACATAAAATATTTCTTGTAATTTTTAAACTAAATATAATTACTCTTAAATATAAATTATGGAAAAATTAATCATATTTTTTCGTGAGCATCAAATTTTATATTCTATTTCTATTATATTATGTAATTTATCTGAAGATATTTAAAATTAACAGATATAAATGGCAGTAAGTAACGTTTTAGTTTATGTACAAGTTTTTTGGAACTACTTTTTCCTCTTCTTTTTAGAATATTCAAAGTTAATAGAAGATTTGTTTAGTCAATAAATTTTTATTATTTTAATTAACATCAACATATTAACAAGATGGGCTGATAACCTGTTCCACTTGAAAAATGCTAACATACTGAAAAAAGAATAGGTCAAACAACCCATACAGATACAATTTTTGCTATGAAAAAGGAGACATAAACTGGACAAAGTGAAAAATTTAGTAGTGAAGGAATTTGAATAATATAAACAAAATCTTCGGTCTGATTGAACCGATTGAGATGGTTCTGAAAAGAGAAGAGGAAAAGGTACAGTACATGCAATGATATGGGTTATGTTCATAGCTCTCAAAATATAGTTCTTCTTGAATAGTGACTGATTTTAAAATACATCATAGTAAGATTCAAAACACAGGTGAAATTAGTCACCATTATCCAGGTTTACACAGTAAGACTTTTGAAAAGGAAGAGGAAAAAAATCTTTTATGGTGACAAGAAATACTTAAAGGAAGTAATTATAGGTCCTATAATTAGGTTGAAAATGTTTGTTCACATAAAAATTAAATTCCTGCTGGTGTTAAAATAAAGGTTTTGATGTGTTGGTTTTCAATAATCAGCAAATATTGTTCCAAAGCAGCTTTCTTTTAAACAAATAGCTTTTGCTATATCACCTGTCAATGTCAAGAGAAGTGATACTTTTGTGACTTTTAAGAAAGCTGCAAAAGCTAATTTAATGAGAAAAGCTATGGATTGTGAATACCCTTATTATGTGCTTTTGCCATAGGCTACCATTTGCTGTATCCAATCTTAGTTATAGTCTACCGATCAGAGTCAGCCAAAAGAAAAGTGGAACCAGGTGCAAAAATTCCCATGCCTTGTAAAAAAATTAAGTAAACTTTTTTTAATCAATAATAGACTAAGCTGGAACTTCACGAATACATTAAGACACTAAACACATCTTAACAATAAACACAATATAAATATTTTAAATTTTGTTATTAGACAGTTTATTAAACATCTTTTAAATAAGAATTTTACATGAGATAAAAAAAAACAAGACAAAGAAATAATCTGTTTATTTATATATGAAATAGATAAATAAATATATATTCATTCCCCCTTATTTTGCATTTTCTCATATTTACTTTAAAATACAATCAGGGCTCTGTGCTAGTGCACAGTTCATACTTCCCTCAGATAGATCCCACTACNGGCCTGTCCCAGTGAGGTGCAAATCCACGACCAAACTGCTAGTGTTCGGGGAACAGAACTAGCTGTTGGTGGGCCCTAACTTGCTATCGGTTTGATGAGGTCCTTTTATATATATTGCTAAATTGCATATTGAACATGTTTACAAAAAGTAAGATTTTGCCTTATTTGTGTGTCTCCCAATATCTGTTATATAAATTACAAAAATATAAGCCCTTATTTTGCATTTTCTCATATTTACTTTAAAATACAATCAGGGCTCTGTGCTAGTGCACAGTTCATACTTCCCTCAGATAGATCCCACTACCAATAGTCTAATATGTTTTAGGATTGACTAAGTCAATGCCCAAACATACAAGACTAAACTCTTATCAGAAATTTGAGCCAAAAATCTTGGTCAATTTATATGCCAGTATATACTGTAAATTCAAATCATTAAGACCCACTGTTATAAAATACATCTGATCCTCGTCTACTATATATCTTATTTTCAAATTTATATTACGTAAATTAGTAAACTTAAATCATTTTAAATATTACACACCGAGAAAAAGATTATTTTGACTGTAATATTTAGCATGGTCTTTCAAGTGTATATATTGTATATAAAATATATGAATTGTGATTGTTTATGTTAAATGTCTTACATTTAACTACATTTTACCTTTGACGACAATTTTTGTCAACCTCGGACTTTAGCAATTGTCAAGACATAATGAGTAAATTGAAACAAACTTTAAATTCAAATTATTATCCTCAAATGTGTCACTTAAAAATCGTTGCTTCAAATTTTATAAACTTATAAATTAATCATAATCGTTAATTATTGTCGTTAAGTTAAATATAATTAAAGTAAATTTAAATTGACCAAATAACTAGTAAAAGCACTTCGCAATTCATTAATGCACAAATCGGTGCTCTAGCGATCAAATTTATCACTAAACGCAAAAATAAACTGTAAAATTACTTATTCGAAATTAATAATACATTTTAAAGGTAGTTAATTATTATTATATATGTATATGATCACTTAAAGTTTTAAAAAAAAATATGTATATCTGGTATTTTTTTCATTATTAATAAAATAACAACTATATTAGATATTATTAATCAATTTACTAATATTCAAAGTAATAAAGGCTAAAATTGTTATTTAAATTATTTTTAAATTTAAAGTTAAATTTCAGCAATTTCGTGACGTCAGTAATTTTTTTTTGGGGGGGTGTTTTAGTAGGTTTGACAACAGTCACAAACGGGAGCCGAAAAATGGCGAAAGATTTCAACGATGTGTTAAACGATGTTGCATTTACAGAAAATAGGTAACGGATTCCGAAAAAATTTTGCAAACTTCATTAAATTTAACAAATAAATGAATATATTAGAAAGTAAAACTTATCGATTTCTATTTAAATTCGCCATGCAAGTTAAGATTTTTTTGTTTTTTTTTTATTATGATATTCGTGTAATGGGATTAGTTTTCTAACTTTTGATTTTTATACGTCGATATTAATTGTGCACTCTAACCATTTCTTGCGTTTCATTTAATTTTTACTTTTTTAAAATATTTTTCCACCATTTAAATGTTATCGATGATTGATTATCGAGAAAATCACGGAGATTAAAAAAAAAAATACAGATATATACAAAAAAATTCATGTGTATCGATATAAATAATTTTGATGAAAATTATAAGTAATTAAAATTTTTGATTTTTATATTTATTTATTGGGAATATTGCAAATCTAGTAAATAATTACATATTGATAATTTATTATTTCAATATTTATGTATGAAAATTGAAAAGCGCTTTATGTATGATGTGGATTATTGTTTATATTCGGCGATAATCGTAAAAAAAGGAAATATAAGCTGAAAATTTCGTTTTAATGAAATATTTGTGTATGCTCAGAATTAGTATATTTAAATTTTTCCAATATTGATTTATTTGTCAAAATATAAATTATTTATTTTGTTACTTTATAATATGCACAATTTCTTCTGGAATATGAGAAAATATTTTACTTTTTCTAAAATTTTAATTATACTTATTAATATAACTTTGGATCCAAGTGTCTTCTAGTATTTTTATTTTTGCCCCGATATTGAATTAAATGTTCAAATTATAGTTTTAATTACAGAAACCCTGTGTTACTTTATATTGCAGAATTTGAATGTTTCTAAATACTATTGCAGAAACATGTATGATGATACGTTCAAATCCTTGAATATACTACATATGAACATTTCATAAGAATTTATATTAGAATCTTAAGTTGTGGCCTGATGAAAACTGATTACGTAGGTTGAAAACATTTCAATATTTCTACTAGAAGTGAAGAAAGTCATTTTTATTTTTGACTTTAGACTAACTGGCCAAAGTGAAGGCTACCTTGCTATCTCTCTCTGTCTTGTATTGGGGTTAATACAGAGGTTATTGTATAATTGCTTATCCTCCAAAGAGCTGGCCAAAGCTTTTTTGCTCGACTGTATGAAATTACTTGCAAAGAGATGGGAAAATGCCTTTTGGGAGATCTTTTAGGGGTAACTGACCCCTATTTAGGCATTAGAGATGTGGATAAAACCTGGTAAAACTACGTGGCTGGCCTGTCCCAGTGAGGTGCAAATCCACGACCAAACTGCTAGTGTTCGGGGAACAGAACTAGCTGTTGGTGGGCCCTAACTTGCTATCGGTTTGATGAGGTCCTTTTATATATATTGCTAAATTGCATATTGAACATGTTTACAAAAAGTAAGATTTTGCCTTATTTGTGTGTCTCCCAATATCTGTTATATAAATTACAAAAATATAAGTAGAATATACACACTTTTACATACTACTACAAATACTAGTTCATAAAAGTGTCTAGTGTGTTTGCTACTAAATCAGTTAAAGTGTCAGTATGTTAATAGAGATAAAATGTTTTTTTAAGTCTTCATGTCTTAGCTTCAGATCTCATAAGATAGATTTTAAAATTGAACGTATGTTCACATTGGCATTCTAAAGTCACTTTAACCTAGAACATGATTCAAAATATTTGAACTCTAAGAATATAAATATTCGAAAAAGAAAAAATAAATGGACAAAATTTAAAAACAAGTAACATCCAAAACATCCAAAAGCAAAAATACAAGCAATGTAAAATTATGCTAAATTGAATTAACTAAATTAACTTTCATAATGTATCATAAGATGGCATATAACTTACACAATACTGTAGAAAGTACTGTACAGCAAGCTGCTAAAACAAAAAAAATCATATCTTGTTTCTGTTGTCAACCTTTCTGATTTTATTTTATTGGACTAAATAATTTTTCTGTGAATTGTCACTAAGTATTGTTTTTGTCAAGCATTGTTTATCTCGATTAAAATGTTGATTCAGCTGACTTAGCTTTCTTATTCTGTGTAATAAACTGGACTAATTGTTCTAAGCAATGGAAGTTAACTCCTGGTTTAAAGCAGACCAAGACTTTTTTGCTTAGCATGCTCTCTGAAAACTAAGGATTTCTTGGCTTTTGACAAGAATCATATCACTTTATGACTGGTGTTTGACTGGCTTTATCACTTTTGTAAACACCTATGCTGACTGAAACTTTCCTCCTTAGCCTTTCACTGCTTTTGCAAATTCTTTGCATATTATTTCTGAATGTACAAATCTTTGCTCAGATAGATTTGTTCTTCTGAGTTTATACATTATTGATACCTAGTGGCATCCCTCAGCTTTCCTTTAGATGTCTACTGTCTTTTTTTTTAAACAGATCAGACTTCTGAAGCAATCTCTCATGGGATTTCTTGGATTTTACATTTTACCTTTATATGGCAGATCTTTGTTGGCTGTTGTTAGACAATGTGTTCAGAGAGAGGATGAATTGGAGAAGACTTGCTTTTGAGAACCTAGAATAGGGAAAAGATCTAAGCATGTAAATTGTAAAATGTATATAGGAAAGCTACATACAGCACTATATTTTTTCATTCTTTTAACACTAAGAAGGATTTTACAACAGGGCAATTATGGGTTTAACCAGACCTATAGTAGGATAGCAAGACATTGAAAAATTGGGCTAGACCATTCAAATTTCTCAAGATCTGACCTGAGTCCTTTGAATAATTTGGAAGATTAGGCTAATGCTCTTATTGTCTTTGCCTTCTGCTTTTGTCTCTTGTCTATATTTTGTAGGTTGTCAATAAGGAAAAATAAGGATACTGCTAGATACTGGTTAATATCAAACTAAGAACACCTAACTCGATAACCTAAAAACCAGCAAATGTAACCACTCACTTGAAAAGTAAATGTTGTCATCCAGTTTAAATAAACATCCTCAGGCTAAAGATGAAAATGTTTGCTTTTCAAGTGAGTGACAATTGAGTGTAAAACAATAGGATGTCAATATGAAACTTACATAACACATTTCTTTCATTAATGTTACAAATATTTTATATATTTATTTACAATATATAATATTTGAGAAACAATAGAGATGTTGTGGCCAAAGTTTTCAATGTGCAAATTGAATTCACATCCAGTTCTGCCTTCCTGTAAGCCTAGAAGTTTGACGATAGCATTTGGAATGTCGAGCATGATTCCACTGACGTTCCAAATGCCATTGTCAAACTTCTAGGCTTACAGGAAGGCGGTGCTTGAACGCCCAATGTTCATGTTTTCATGTTGAAAACATCGGCTGCAACCTCTATTATGTCATATTTAAAATTTAACTATATTGTTCATACAATTATTGCATTATTATTACAACATTATTGCAATATTTGCAATCTCATTAAAATAATGGTAATTTCTGTAGCTCAAAACCAACAAACAATATGGAAGTTTTGGTTAGAAATAAATACTTTTTCTTGCTGTATATCTAATAATAGACAGATCGCACGCGTGGGATTGTGGGATCTCTCTTATGACTTGATCTAGTTTCAAGAACTCTCTCTATTCGATCGCGATAGAACCTCGTTTCAGTCGAGATTGAAACGGTCGAGAGCATTCACACCACGGAACTCTCTCCGACCTTAGTCACAATCTAGATCGAAATGCTCGGTGCGAACGGGGTATAACAATATGAACTAAAAAACTTTTCCACTTTTTTCCATTACATATTATAGTGGGTCCAATGGACCCAAATGGCAACTAAAGTTATATTGGGTTACATTATGCCTATTATTCAAGATATTGATTTTATTCCAAAAATATCCATATTACTTAGATTTAAAAAATCATAAATTTTGAAGAATTGGATGAAACTTTAAAGAATAACATCATATGTAACAGTGACATCAAGTCCATTAGATCTGGATGGTAGTTAGAAGATTAATTTTATTACTCTACATTGCATTTAAATTATAAATTTAATTCATACTGGAATAAAGTATTTTCTAAAACATGTTACTAAATTAAAAATATACCTTTACTATTAATATTTTGTGATATTAAATTAATTTTGTTTTTATACAAAGTAAAATGAAGAATACAAGAAAAGGCTCACTTTTGCCAGGACTGATAATTTTTCTGAAGTAGACAAGTTTTCATTTTATTGACATTCCAAACTGACCAAGATATACTATGATCTAAATATAGAAAAGCCATAGGCTTCATAAGTAACAATTTTTATTTAATTATCATCAGGTGTTAATAACTGACTGATCAAGAGTCACAGCAAAGACTCCCTGCCAAGTAGAAAAGTCACTGACCAACTATATATACAGGAATCAGAGTTGCCAAATTTAGGGATCAATTTCTCCCCCCAAACATCTACAGTAATTTTGAATATCTCATTTGAAAGGTAATTATTTTCTTAGGTAGTGTGCAAAATTTTCTGTAAAGCAGTTGCCAAAACATAAGCACTGAAAAGTGCAAAATTATCAAAACACCATATTTTCTTCCTTTTCTTCATCTGGCACTGCAGACACTCACATGTCAGAGAGAAAATCTACTGGGTCTAGAAAACTCAATTTTAAACTTAAGCCTTCCTTGTGATCAGCAACATGCTCACAAAACTTCAAAGTCGAGAGGTCAAAGTTCAAAAGGGTTTCTCAATATAGATATTTCTGTTTTCTAGCTTAATTTTATGCTTCTAAGAATAAAACTGCATTGAAAGAAATGAATTTTATTTAAAATGTTACTCAGAATAACAAAAGCTCAAATTTATGCAAGTTAAAACCTTTAACAATTTTTCTAAACAGTGTATCAAAAGCATTGGTCAGTGATGTTTGATTGGCAGCATGTTGGTCGGTGACACATTCAGTCAGCAGCATGTTCTGTTGACGCTTAGTAACCACCACAGAAGTCGCCAATATAATATATTTACGTAATAATAC